AATGAGAAAAAAGAATAATTGATTGATGAGTGCTTGAATGATTTGAAAGAGTTGAAAGAAGTCCTTTGCATAAGATGGAAGAGATCAACACAGAAGAAAAAGTCAAGGAAAGCAAATTGGAGGTGAAGGTGTTACCACCACACTTGAGGTATGCGTTCTTAGAAGAAGGTGGGAATAAACCAGTTATCATCAGTAATTCTCTCTCTCCTAAAAAAGAAGAAAAGTTGGTTGAGATACTAAAAGCCAGCATAGGAGCTATTGGATGGTCAATCTCAGATCTCAAAGGCATAAGTCCGACGTATTGCATGCACAAAATATTTATGGAGGATGATTACAAACCAGTTGCTCAACCATAGAGAAGGTTAAATCCAGTGATGAAGGACGAGGTGAGAAAAGGGGATGTGTCATCAAATATCTACCAATGAATAGTTTGAGTCAAGTTATAATATTAATGACTTAATATGGTAGTTATAAAATGTACATAACAAATAAATTATTAAAAAACTTACAATATTAGTGTACTTTTAATTGTTAAAGTGCGAGGTTTTTTGTTCAATCAACATAAGAGAACTGCAAGAAATTGTTGAGGAGGAATTAGTAACAATTGCCAGTGATCCCTACATATTCAAACAATAATAGTGTTAAATAACATTTACATAAATGAAATTTTATTAATAAAAATTATATATTTAGTGCTGGAAATAAGATGCTTGCAAGACTTATTATTATATGTACATTATAAGGACTACATTGGCAATATAAAAGAACAATTGAAAAGTAAATGATTCGTGAATGCCATAAGATTCTAGTATAGCTAACCAATAGGTATGTACCAAAAGCATTATAAAAAGCAAACAGAAAATGAATGCTTCATGAATGCCACAAGACTGCCAACAACTTCTTACATGTGTTTATTATAGAACAAAATTATAGTTTCCTACATCGACTATTTTATTTCTGCAATCTATTAGTGTCCTTTCATCAGTTTAATTATGTTGTTATTCTTGTCTGCAGCTAAAATGTGATAATAGATTATTTTTTATTTGTTTAAGATGGGATTAATGATAATTTTGACAACTGTATGAGCATTTTTATTAACCAACTTGCATTGGGTTCTGTTCATACATTAAACTTAACAGTAATGCTAGGCCTAGACCTTTTCTTTTCTATGCCAGTTGGCTTGGCTTTAGATTTGACTCAGTTGTATTATCTCTTTTTTCATTCCCATGTAACCTGATGGCCCTGGACTAGGTGAAATCTGTACTTGGGTGGCTTGACTTTCTTGACATTATGCTTTCTAATAAGTAATCTCTTATGATTACGATTTATTTTATTCTTTGTGCTTTATTTGCTCTTCTGAATTGCTTCAACAACATCATTGGAACTGTAACATCTGATTCAGTGAGAGCAGCAAACACCATTTCCTTTAACTTGAGTGCACCATTAAGCACAGAAGGCAATTCATGAATAATAAGAACGAAGCATAAACTATAAAAGTGGTTATAGGTGAAAATGTAAACGAATAAAAGACCACAGAATGCTAGAGTAGTAACTCACCTCGTGATGCTCAATGTATCCACTNATTATTATTATATATTTTTAGTTTGAACATGAAGAAAATCAAAATGGGTGTTCATATTTCTGACTTTTGCGAAAGTTTTTCTCTGTACCACTGTTGTACATAAATTTTATACATTGTCATAAGATATTGCTTTTTTATTAGAAAATTTTATACTGAAAAGTAAATTTTTTTTTGTTTCAAAACAAACAAACAATATTTAAATTTATTGTTTTGAACCAACTCTTAAACTAAAATAATTAGCCTAAAGAAATTTTAAAATATTATACAAATTAAAAAAAAATTAAATATAAGAGGTCATGAACCTACACTTTCAAGTAAATACTTCTCCACCTCAGTGATAAAAAGAAAAAGAAGACCATGTGCGGGAAATACAGTAGATAGTTAATTCATGAGTAAAATATATTTAAAATTTTTCAATTTAGATATTTATTAGAATAATGATATCATAATACACGTTTAGATTTATTTGAGACAGCAAAGATAAAATAGTTATAAAAATATAAATTTTTGTTATTTTTTCAAGAAAAAGAAATAAAAAATAAGTAAAGATAATTACAAAATATGTTAAACTTAATATAAATGTTTCTAAATTATGCATTTCTCAATGTATAATTAAAAAAAATAGATTTAATGCTTTTAAATGTTAAATATTCACAAAAATACTTTAACTTAAATTATTAATAGAGTTTGTTTGACTCAAAAGTCTTCCAAATTAAACAAGTTGTTATAAAAGAAAAAGGTTAAACCGATATTTTAAAATAAATTGAAGTTAAACAAAGCATGCAAAGAGTAAAGAGGAAAAACTCTAATAATTAATGAAGTAAAGCATATATAATCAAGAATCAGTTCAATATATGAGAGTTTAAGAGGTTACATCTTTTCCAACAATAAATAAGGTTTAGCTCTCCATTATCATGGAGAAACTAGATGAACAATGGAATGAAAGAATGAAAGAGATAAAAAAAACCCTAGAAAGAGAAGAGGATAGCCATCACCATCTCTAAATCTACCCCCAAGGGGTGAAAAGAGTGTTTCTGTGCTCAAGCCATCAAAAGATACATTCCTTAGGACGTGCAAGTCCTTAAATAGACTAGAAAAATAACAGAAAATAGGTCCAAGCCCTTAAAAATAATAGAAAACAGGTCCAAGCCCACGTTGTCGACGCTCAACGCCAAAATGGCGCTCAACGATATCTGCGGCACTCAAAACTGGCACTCAGCCACACTGCACTGGTTAACTTTTCTGCACTGGTTGACTTTTTTGCACTTTGGTTGACTTTTCTACATTGTGGTTGACTTTTCTGCATTCCAACTATTTGGTACTTTAACTCTTCTTTCAAATCATTCAATTAGGCTACAAAATCAAGGGAATTCAGTGATAAAATCATCAAGTATAACCTCAAGTCTCTTATTCACAAAACTAAAGCAAAAACATGAGTTCAAGCAAGCTTCTAAGTCAAAAATGGTGTTTTTAATATCAAAATTAAGTATAAAAATAACGGTTTTTCAACCGTTATCACTTAAGCGCATAAGAGTGTCGCTCACCGCCTGGGCGCTCCTTTTGGGCGCTTGAGCCTCAGAAGCACGAAGCTTAGGGGCCCTTGTTGGAGGCTTAAGCGTAGAAGAGTGTTGCTCACCGCCTAGGCGCCCCTTTTGGGCGCTTGAGCGTTAGCACGAAGCTTGGGCGCCCCTTTTTAAGGCTTAAGCGCTAGGAACCACCGTTCACCGCCCGGGCGCCCTAAGTGGGGCGCTTGAGCGCCAGCGACACGGGACTGGGCCTTGTTTCTGTTCTGTTTTTGCTCTATTTAAAGGACCCAGACGTCCTAGGTTTGGTATCTTTGGCAGAGGGAGCGCAACAACACACTCTTTCAATCTCTGGAGGCGGATTTGGATGCGGGAGCTTCCATCTTCTACTTTTAGGTTTTTTCTATCTCATTCTTCTTCATTGTTCATCCAGTCTCACCATGTATATGGTGAACTAAACTCTATTTTTTGTTGGGGAATGATGTAACCTTGTGAACTCTCATGTATTTGGATTGATTCTTAATAATATATGTTTTTTCATTAATTGTTAGAGTAATTCATCTATTACAATGCTTGCTTTGTTTAACTCATTCAATAACATGATTTATGAATTGCATGAGTGTCGGGAGGTTCCTTACAATTCAGGTTCTTGTTGAATTACTCCCAAGAGTAATATTTCTCAAGGATGAGAGTATGAGTCTTGGTTGTCTTAAAGTTCTTGATTTTCACATTTAATTACTAGGAATGCTAGAAATTGCATGAACTAGTGATTAAGGACAAACTTATTTCGCCGAGGGATCGAGTTTAAGTGATTTAGTGAGTGACGTTAACATTAATGCATAAAGAAGAATTCCTACATACATGAGAGGGAACTTGGCGAAATCTAACCCCAACAACACACTCATCTTATATTAAACAACATTTGTTCATCATTGTGCTATTCTGCTATCGATCAACTTGCAGTCATATTTAATTTTCTGTTTTTGCATTTGAAACCAATAATCTCGTTTTCTTTAAGTCTTAATTAATCAAGTTATCACACGACAGTCTAGTATCGAGAGTCTCTCGGGACATGATACTTGGTCTTACCATTTTATGTTACTTGTGCGATTCGGTACACTTGTCGATCCATCAACAAGTTTTTGGCGTCGTTGTCGGGGAATCACGATTTAAACTATTCTATTTGTATGATTCTTGATTAACTTTGGATTTATTTTTATTTTTTTTATTTTTTATTTTTTATTTTTTATTTTTTGTCTTATTTTTAATTTGTGTTTTGTGTCGTTGTTTTTGTTTTTGTGCTAACAATGTTTTCTAGGGTTTTTGTTGTTGTTGCTTGCAGGATGCAATTTGGACAAGGTAATTTCAATCACGGGTGGAAACCCCACACAAATATGGGACCAAGTCAATATGGACAAGCTACCGGACAACAAAAATGACAACAACAACCCTCTCTATCAGAAAGAATGGCTAAGATGGATGACACACTTCAACAGTTAATGCAGACGTCTGATTCTCATTATAATAGCACTGAAGCAGCATTCAGAAGGATAAAGAGGCATCTCTGTCACATAATTCAGAAGCTGGATGTTTTTGGGGGTAATATGAAAGTAAACCCTGGAGAGGAGTGCAAAGCTGTTGTTACCAGAAGTGGCAGAATTTTAGATGAGAGAAAAATATAGAGAAAAGAAAAAGAAAGGTTGAGTGAAAAAGAAAAATAAGAAGAAGAGAAAGAAAAAGAAGAGATTGAGAGAAAAGAAAAGGAAAAAGAGAGGGAAGAGAACAAAAAAAGAGAGGAAGAGGATGAGAGAAAAAAGAAAGAATTGTATGAAAAAATCCTTCCTTACCCAAAGAATTATTCGAGGAAGGAGAAAGAAAAACAGTTTGAGCGTTTCATGGAGATTTTTAAGAAATTGGAGATTAACATACCTTTCTCTGAAGCCTTGCAACAAATGCCCTCATATGCTAAATTTCTTAAGGAGCTAGTCACTAAGAAAAGGAAGCACATTGAAGAGGAAACCATTGAAGTTCAAGGAAACTGTAGTGCTATCATACAAAAGCTTCTACCTCCCAAGTTGAAAGATCCAGGAAGCTTCACCATTCCTTGCACTATAGGAAATATCTCTTTTGGAAAGGCACTAATTGATTTAGAAGCCAGTATCAATCTCATGTCGCTCTCCATGTTTGAAAAGATTAAAGGTTTGGAACTCAAGCCTACTCGGATGACTCTTCAAATAGCAGATAGATCTCTGAAATATCCTTATGGGGTAGCTGAAGATGTGCTTATGAAGGTAGACAAATTTCTTTTTCCTGTGGACTTTGTTATTATGGAGATGGAGGAGGATGTAAATGTGTCTCTTATTCTTAGGAGACCTTTTATGAAGATTGCAAGAGTTTTGATTGAATTGGAAAACGACAAACTGAAGGTGAGAGTGCAAGATGAAGAAGTAAATTTTAATGTTTTTGAAGCTATGTCTCACCCAAAGGATGACAAGGAGAGTTTCCATCTTGACACTCTTGACGAAATTTGCATGATAAAAGAGAAGAAAGCAAGTGATATTTTTCTTTTGGAGGAGACGTTAGTTGACACTTGTGAAGAATTGAATGAGAAAAAAGAATAATTGATTGATGAGTGCTTGAATGATTTGAAAGAGTTGAAAGAAGTCCTTTGCATAAGATGGAAGAGATCAACACAGAAGAAAAAGTCAAGGAAAGCAAATTGGAGGTGAAGGTGTTACCACCACACTTGAGGTATGCGTTCTTAGAAGAAGGTGGGAATAAACCAGTTATCATCAGTAATTCTCTCTCTCCTAAAAAAGAAGAAAAGTTGGTTGAGATACTAAAAGCCAGCATAGGAGCTATTGGATGGTCAATCTCAGATCTCAAAGGCATAAGTCCGACGTATTGCATGCACAAAATATTTATGGAGGATGATTACAAACCAGTTGCTCAACCATAGAGAAGGTTAAATCCAGTGATGAAGGACGAGGTGAGAAAAGGGGATGTGTCATCAAATATCTACCAATGAATAGTTTGAGTCAAGTTATAATATTAATGACTTAATATGGTAGTTATAAAATGTACATAACAAATAAATTATTAAAAAACTTACAATATTAGTGTACTTTTAATTGTTAAAGTGCGAGGTTTTTTGTTCAATCAACATAAGAGAACTGCAAGAAATTGTTGAGGAGGAATTAGTAACAATTGCCAGTGATCCCTACATATTCAAACAATAATAGTGTTAAATAACATTTACATAAATGAAATTTTATTAATAAAAATTATATATTTAGTGCTGGAAATAAGATGCTTGCAAGACTTATTATTATATGTACATTATAAGGACTACATTGGCAATATAAAAGAACAATTGAAAAGTAAATGATTCGTGAATGCCATAAGATTCTAGTATAGCTAACCAATAGGTATGTACCAAAAGCATTATAAAAAGCAAACAGAAAATGAATGCTTCATGAATGCCACAAGACTGCCAACAACTTCTTACATGTGTTTATTATAGAACAAAATTATAGTTTCCTACATCGACTATTTTATTTCTGCAATCTATTAGTGTCCTTTCATCAGTTTAATTATGTTGTTATTCTTGTCTGCAGCTAAAATGTGATAATAGATTATTTTTTATTTGTTTAAGATGGGATTAATGATAATTTTGACAACTGTATGAGCATTTTTATTAACCAACTTGCATTGGGTTCTGTTCATACATTAAACTTAACAGTAATGCTAGGCCTAGACCTTTTCTTTTCTATGCCACTTGGCTTGGCTTTAGATTTGACTCAGTTGTATTATCTCTTTTTTCATTCCCATGTAACCTGATGGCCCTGGACTAGGTGAAATCTGTACTTGGGTGGCTTGACTTTCTTGACATTATGCTTTCTAATAAGTAATCTCTTATGATTACGATTTATTTTATTCTTTGTGCTTTATTTGCTCTTCTGAATTGCTTCAACAACATCATTGGAACTGTAACATCTGATTCAGTGAGAGCAGCAAACACCATTTCCTTTAACTTGAGTGCACCATTAAGCACAGAAGGCAATTCATGAATAATAAGAACGAAGCATAAACTATAAAAGTGGTTATAGGTGAAAATGTAAACGAATAAAAGACCACAGAATGCTAGAGTAGTAACTCACCTCGTGATGCTCAATGTATCCACTGTGTGTAAGGTCAAACAATCTAAATGCAACTGTCAAAAAGAAAAATCGGCACAATCAAGCTCAATGTACATAACCAAAAAAAGCATAACAGACAAATAACGTTTGATTTATGTAATAAACAAATGATGTCCTACATTCAATCACAGATGCTAATTTATGAATTGAGAGAGAGAAAAGAAGGACAAAATATATAATATGCAGATCTAGTTGAATAGGTAACAATTTTAGAAGAAGCTTACCAAAATCAAAAACTAAAATATAAGCTATTGGCTTCCTTATAGATACCAAATTAATGTAACGCACATCACACATACATGATTACTTCCTATCATAAATTTTAAATAACTTCATAAAAAAACAAGTATTGCAACATGTGTTACTCTTGCAAAGATCGCAAGTGCAAAATACTGCTATGCAGAACATTCAGTCACTAAGGTCATGTCTTTATACCAATATAGTAACTCACTTCAAAAATTGCAGATTATCCCATACATCATTCATAATCTGGGAGCTGGTTGCAGTAAATTAATTCTCATTTATAGGAAACATATTATAATTTGAACTATGAACTTACTACGACCAATATGGAAATCATTCACTAACTAAAAATGAAATTAGAACAATTTGCTAGCACTCAAGATAAAAACAATTGACAACATAATTTCAATTTCCCTCAAATAAATATTTTACATAATTAAAGCTAAATAATTAATTGTCTTCAAAGCAACATTTAAGACAGAACTTATTGTGCATGTATCCAAGCCCTGATTATTTGCTTCAAAATACAATTGCATTAATTTTAGCCATTAATTTTTCTTTACAATTTAAAAAAGAAGAAAGAAATCCCCATTAAATTTTTTTTTCCTTTTAATATAATTGATTACTTGAAGTTTCTGTATTTGTATCTTTGTCAGGAAAGTTTTTTCTGATATTTAGATCTAATAATTGTATTTTGATATATATTGGTAAATAATGACTAAGTGGAACAATTGATCCAGATATTTTTAGTAATATATTTATATGTAATGGAAAGCAAAAACCCATTTGATTTATGAATGAAGAGAAGAAGTTTTGGAACAGGAAAAGAGTGATGGTGTAAACAAATGTAGCATGTTAGAGCAAAAAAGGNGAAGAATCCAATCACTAAACATCAAAGAATTTTAATTAGCCACAATTTTCAAATTAAAAGGAAAAGAATAACATCTAGGCAGCAGATGCAATAAACAAATTTCCTCTATTAAAGCAGCAATAACATAAAAAATACCTCTCTGAGTTGTAAGAGTTGTAAGAGTTGTTCCCTGATAGCACACGCTCACGACCACCTTCTAACCGTAAAATGAAGCGGCAAAAAGAAACTAAAATACAAAATATTTGCCTCAAACCCTCAAGAGAACTTTTACTCGATGCAAAACCGTGAAGGAACCAAAGAACCCTAGAATGGATCGATTGATCGGTGGAAAAGGGGTTTTAAACGGTGGAAAGGGATTATAATTGGTAGAATGTGATTATAATCGGTGGAAGATGAGGAAATGCGGGAGAAACCCTAACCTGAAAGTGAGGAAGATGCTCTTTGATGGTGAAGGATGAGCTCTCGAGCCACTGAAAGTGAGGAAGACGACGTTGAGAAATGTTCTCTAATGTGCGAAAGAGAAAAAGACGATGCCAAGAAATGTTGCTTTACCCAAACGTAAACAACTTCAAACGCGAAAAAGAAGATGAGAAACGTACAGTGAATGAAAAACACAAACAACTTCAAACAGGAACAAGAGCTTTACCCAACCACCTCAACACGACTGAACGGACAACAATGATAATCGAAAGGAAGTTTTGCACGAAAAAGAAAGTATAGCGAGAAAAACAAACTGAATATATAAAATAATCTATACCTGCTATAATATTTAAACGGTGTAGATCAATAATTTATACCTACTCTAGTATTAATTGGCATAAAAAACTTTTTATAGCTATTTTTATTATAATCAGTATAAAAACGTTTCTCATATTTAAAAAATACCATTGCGCCTTTTTCTATAACTACTAAATTTTGATAAGTATAAAAAATCGCCATAAAAAAGATAATTTCCAGTGTAGTTTTGTTCCTTATACTCGCCATCATCACTCCTGCAACATTTCAACCCATCACCACCACCACACCTGAACAGACTAGTCCTAGTTCAGAATCTTAAGAAACCACCTCCTGTTGCCCCTATCCAGATCGACGTCCCTCGCCATCGTCTTAACGACGGCACAGCGTACGCTCCGTAGGCGTAGCCTGCCACTATTTTATATCATACACAATCTTAATTTTTGTTAAATCCTTTGTCTGTATGATAATCTGTAATATTTTAAGTTATCTAAAGTTGAGTATCTTTATAAGTATTTCTTACAAAATAATAGAATTATCTATTTATTATTTATGATTTATATTGGTTAAGATTATTTTTTAACTTATATAAGCTTAAAAATTCATATTATTAACATTATCGTGGATTGATAGATGCAAAAACTTTCACTCACATCAATACAAAAGATAACTTATCCAATATTTGTTAAAAGCTAAATTTGATGATCTCACGGTGAGAAGATTATGTTCCCACCCAATTGAACAAATGATGTCTTGATTTGAACTGAGGCGAGAGTATGAATAGAAAAAATATAGATGTGAGAATGAATTTAAATTCTTATTTTGTAAATGAAATTTAAAATTCATTAGTGTAGAAATTACATTATATATAAGTTATTTTTGTTTATTATATCAGTCAAATAATCATATTAATAGTGTAAAATACATCTATTAACATTATTTATCACTCCAAAATCATATTAATTTACATAAAAAATAATCAAAAATTAAATTGGTTAAACTAGAAATTAAAGTAATATGTCTATAAAAGATACTACATATAAAACTGATGTTATATATGTCCGTCTTAACTCACATATACATTTGTTCTAAACATAATTGATGTAATATCTCTCCAAAAGGACATATTGTATCAATTACGTCTATAAACAATGTTATATGTATGTCTCATACACATATAACATCGGTTTTAAGCATAATCGATGTAATATATTTTTTTAGTAAGAGATATTACATCGATTATGTTTAAACAAATGCTATTTATGAGACATTTTTTAAATAAAATTTACATTTTTAAACAAATATCACTAGTATAAAAATCGCGTACAATGTCAAATATTTTGGGCTTTTAACGACGAATTCGTCAACGACATCATATCAGGAGACGTTAAATTGACGTCAGATTTTAAAAATTCGACGTTAACGTCGAATTTTATCAATATACGACGTTAATTAATTTTGTTTTTGATCTTTTTTTTACAACTTTACGAGACCTGAAAAGTAGAAAAGCAACAAATTTCAGTTTTTGGTATTTTATAAATCAGCAACAAACAAGTTTAATCAAACAACACCA